CAAAAATCTAACTTAAAATTTATGTTACTGATTTATCACTGTGTGACCATATTGGAATTTTGGCACTTTAGTTGAATTTGAAATATTCATATGCTGAATTTTTAAATTGCTGTGATGGTAACAATTGCCTCATGGATAGTTGAGTTCTACACAATAGGTGCCTGTAATTGGGGAAGTTATTTAGTATCTTTTGTGCTTGAGTCCCATTCCAGTACTCTTACCTGGAAAATCCCATGGAGGGAGGAGCCTGGTGGGCTGCAGTCCATGGGTCACTAAGAGTCAGACATGACTGAGAGACTTCACTTTCACTTTTCACTTTCATGCATTGGAGGAGGAAATGGCAACCCACTCCAGTGTTCTTGCCTGGAGAATCCCAGGGATGGCAGAGCCTGGTGGGCTGCCGTCTGTGGGGTTGCACAGAGTTGGACATGACTGAAGCGACTTAGCAGCATCAGCAGCAGCTTGAATTAAGTGCTTGAATTAAGGAAAGAGAAAACGGATCCGTTTCGAGGAGCTCTATTATTGTTCAGTCACTAAGTCATACTTATGTGTGTGCTGACTCATGTCTGACTCTTTTCAACCCTATGGACTGTAGCCAGCTGGGCTCCTCTGTCCATAGCATTCTCCAGGCAAGAATATTGGAGTGGGTTGCCATGCCCTCCTCCAGGGAAATTTTCCCAGCCCAGGCATTGAACCCACGTCTTTTACTTCTCCTGCATTGGCAGATGAGTTCTTTGCTACTAGCACCACCTGGTAAAGCTGCTAAGTCATAAATCAATGTAAAGGAATAAACAATGCATGTCATAAAGTAGACAAAATTTCCCTTTGATTTGCCTTGTACTTCCTGTTGATTCTTGGTTAAGGAAATCATTGATAATCCTCAAATGGTATATTACAGTTTAACATTGGTTTATAGAAGAGGAAAATGAAATGATTTCAACATTAACAGTAAATTCGACCCATAGTACACAAAATCTCTAGTGGAAGAATTTGAGGTTTTACGGTATCACTGAAGCAGGACATTTGAAGAAAGAAGCATTTGCTTAACTGTCCTTTGATTAAATATCACAGCTGATTGACCCTTTTGGCTGTTTTGAGTTCTTGACCAAATTGTCATTAGAAGGAATCCTGTAAAATAGCATATGGGTTAAAATTTCTGGACTGTTGAGTTTTTCCTTTCTCAGTACAGCTGTTATTCTTATATTCATGTCTTTTTATTTTACTATATAAAAAATCTCTGCACAGTCTGTTAAGATGTGAGCACAGCCTAGGCACAAATAAATACAAGAGGCAACTATAGTTGGTTTAGGTCTTGATAGGAAGAAATCATCTTCTTATCAGGATCTTTACCCAAAGAAATCTCTTAGGAATTCTTATCCAGTTGAACTGGAAAAGCGTTAAGAGTTAGTTTATATATATGAATGAGGTTATTCTATTTGGATCTTAGAGAACTGATAAATCCAGCAATTTAGGGTCAATGGTCAAGAAGGTCTTAGAAGTTACAGAGTGATCAAGTTCAATTATGCTCTGTGTCATCGAAGCTCTGCGGTAGGCTAGGATGGGTAGAAAGAAGTGGAGTATTGGGCAAACTACACGACTGCCTGCAGGTATCAGGATGTAGCCATTGTGTCGGGGAGGGGACTGTTGTCAGAGAAAGTGTCTCTGAGGGATCAGGGTAAGCAAGTAAATGAACTAGTGCGTGTCTGTGCACGCCAAGTCGCTTCAGTAGTGTCTGACTCTGCGACACTATGGACTGTAGCCCGCCAGGCTCTTCTGTCTATGGGATTCTCCAGGCAAGAATGCTAGAGTGGATTGCCATTCCTCCTTCAGGGAATTTTCCTATTTAAGCCACAAATGAATGAGTTTCTGAATGTTAAGTCCAGGCCCATTTGTTCACCAAAAGAATAAGGCCAACAGTGAATACGTTATAGTTCTCATTCCTCAGGACAAGACCTATTCTTGTGCCTAGGGTTTTTGTCTAGGTTCCTTCTTAAAACATTATTTGAAACAACAAGGCAAGGATCTACTGCATTAACAACTACCTTATAATAACCTATAATGGAAAAAAATCTGAAAAAAATACACACACTGTGCATGCATGTTCAGTTGTGTCCAACTCTTTGCAACCCCATGGACCATGACAGGCTCTGTTGTCCACCGAATTTTCCAAGCAATAATACTAGAGTAGGTTGCCTTTTCCTACTTGAGGGGATCTTGACGACCCAGGGATAAAACTGATGTTTCCTGTGACTTCTGGATTGGAAGGAGGATTCTTTACCATTGCGCCACTTGGGAAGGGCACCCACACACACGCACACACACACGAAAAGAATCATTTTGCTCTACACATGAAGCTAACACAACATTATAAATCAGCTGTACTTTTAGTGAAAAAAATATTTGAACACATTAAAAGCTAGGCTAGAAGCTGATTATGTAATAGTAATCAGGATATAGTTCCTTCCTTTCAAAATTTACACTCTACTGGAATGTACTGACAAGAATATAGACAATAAAAATAGAGTATTAAGAGTATCAATTTGGAAAGTTATGTATTGTGATGATGGTGTGAATAAGATCAGATTAAAACCTGATAGTGTTGGAGAGATCAGAAAGGATTCCTAAATAGACTGACGTCTAAGCTAAGTCCTAAAGAATGTGCAGGAGCAGCGAGTCTAACACATGAGTCAGTTTTGTGGATAAGCAGAAAGTGCCACTTCCAGATGCAGGGGTTCAGAATTAACCTCCCCAAAGTGTGTTACTTGTGCATGAAGGTTTTTTTGAGCTAAAAGAAGTCAAGATCCTATAGCTTCAAGAGAAACCATTGCTCTCCCTTAACTATAAAGAATAATTTAAATTGGGAATTTTTCCCAGAGTTACTTACCTAAAGTGACCCCATCTATACAACAAGGCAAGCATCTACTTACCAAATGTTTACTCTTCTTATTGACCTATAATGACCCTTCTGTTCTTGGAGGCCCCATACCCCCACTCCTTTCCTTAACTCTGAATGGCATGTATATTTCATTTAACTTTTCTGTCTCTGAATGTCTCATGCATGTGGCAGCTCTGATGCTCTCACATATGTGAAATTCCTGTACATATGAAGTGAATTTCATTTTCTCCTGTTAGTCTATCTCATGTCAGTTTAATTCTTAGACTAGTCTGAAAAATCTAGAAGCATAGAGGAAAGTTTTTTCCTCCTTAACACAGACCAATAAATGATAAGACAGTCATTTAAAACTTGCGGCCTTTCGTTTGTGGAACTACCCAGTGCTAGGGCATGTGACTTGATGAACTGAACTCTTGTCCTGAATATATTTGCCTCCTTGGTCAAATTCTCCTGTGCTGAGCACAGCCTGTGACCTAGATTGGCCTTATCAAGGTGACGAAAAATGCAGAGGAAAGGAGGAGCTCAAAGCTTAAGATTATGGCTCTTGAAAATTGAAATATGAGAGAAAATCAACCTGATTTGAATGAAACATTTCTAGAATTGTCCTCTCAGACTATGACAGCCTGAGAGTCCCTACTTGGATGAGCTGCACAGAAGCTACCTGCAGAGATACATTCCACACATTTAAGCATTTGCCAAGAAAGAAATTGGACTCACTAGGCATGAGCTTCCTGGAGTGACTCTACATGTCATTTTACCCATTAAGATTGTGTAACATGGTTTCACAATAGCAAATCAAAGTAAGGCTGGTGACGTTCCTACAATTACAATAGAAGTGAAATAGCTTAATTAGTAAAACATTAACTGGCAGGATTCCTATAAGTAAAAACGTACATATTTAAGGCGGCTTATTGTAACATTTATACCATTTATTTTATAATATACTAATTCGAATGTAAAAGTGAATGTAAATTGCCAGAAATTAACATGCAATGTGTAGAAAAGTCCTTTTATCCTCTGCAACTGTAGCATTTGGCAGATTCAGGAATAAATAATCTTTTGTGGCAAGGGTATGCCTTATCAAACATATGCAGATCAGCACTAATTAATGCTAATTAAGGTTTCCTGTCTATCTAGTTGGAAAAACGTCCAAATGTTATGAAATCCAGTTAGTATGCCTATTACGCTAATTGTTTTATATGGGGTGGTTCTTAATTAAAATATGTAAATTGACCTTAATTGCTATATACTAATGGGGGTTCATGTTATCTCACTAAAAGTGACAAGATGGTGAGGAGGGGTACTTAAATGACTAATTCTGATAAATCCTTAACTAAATGACCTTTACTCAAAATTAATTTTAATTGGAAGTTGGCTAAAGAAACATTTTTCTTCTTTGTTTCATTTTAGTTTTTAGTAATGTAAGAATGTTCCTCTTCTTTGTTAATACAGCTTTAGAAGCAGTTATGGATTGTTAATTACACTTAACAAGCAAGTTAATTTGACTGTTTACTGTTTATAGTTATCAGGATAGCCTCATTTCAGTTTCGGGAAAAATTAGTACTTATTGAGAATGTAAATTTATAGTTAGAATAATATAGGTAAGTCAACCTAGTTTGTTAGAATGTGTTTTAAAGTTTGATGAGTCAGTGGTGCTAATATATACTCTAGCTGATTTATATTGATATTACTTTTTAGAAAACAAAATTTTCTTTGCAAACATTAACTCTTATTTGAGTTAAAAGCTCACTGATGATACTTAGATTAAATAGACTGAAATAATATTTTGACATTTTACTTGATGTGTTTTTATTTATTATTTAATTGCAAACAAATTAAAATGTATAAGCCACAAACCAGTGGAAATGAATTTATGTCTTTTTTCCACTGTCCTAACCTTACAATTATAGGAAGTAATTTAAATAAAGCTAACAAATATTATATTTTTACTTTTTCATTAAGTAGTTTATGTTCAGCTGTAATTTAAAATATATTAAAAATGTGAGACAGGACTTGGTAGAATGCTGTGATATGGAAATGAGCATAGAATGAAGATAACAGTTATTCTTTGTAGAAAGGAGACTCAATATCTTTACTCTTTCAACAGGATATAGTGACAAATGTTTCACCCAGAATCATCCGGGGGACCACCTCCGGCCCCATGTATGGCCCTGGACAAAGCTCTTTCCTGAATATTGAGCTCATCAGTGAAAAAACGGCTGCATATTGGTGTCAAAGTGTCACTGAACTAAAAGCCGACTTTCCAGACAATGTAAGTGTGATTTAACGCCTAAAACAAAAGAATTGGCATAAGTTGGTGAATGTTTATTTAAACATCCAATTCATAGGCTTATAAATATTAATGTGTATAATATATTTTATTAAAGAATCTGCCAGTTGCTTTGCTGATGCATAGAAAGATAAAAAAGAAAGAAATGCTAAAGAACTCATAAAAATCCACACAATGTAAGTCTTTGTTATAAATGGGTGCCATGTAGATGGAAGAAGTATCTATATAAGCAGGAGGAAGAGAAATGAAATACTCATTTTATTGAGTTGGTTTTCACTGTATGTGGCTAGTATTTATGAAGGTGATGACCTTAGGAAGAAATTGCAGACTGTAAATCATTTTAAATATAAAGCTGAAGCAGATGCAGAATTTCTTATGTAGTTTATATTTTTCAGTGGGAAATAACTTACCAAATGTTTTAACACCTTTATTCTGAATGAGCAAACTAGCTTTTATAAAACCTTTTTTTCCTTCTAAAGTACTATATACAAATATTACAGTAAAATCAGGCTTACAGATAGTATTTTGTTTCTTTGTGGATTTTTATAGATTGCCTGTGTTTTTTTTTTAGTCCACAGTATTTTTCTCTTCAATATTGGTTAGGATTGTCCTTAATGTCATTCATTCATTCTCCTCCTTGTCCCCTAGCCCCTTTCACTGTGCACACACATGCACCCACACACACACATTTCTCTCTCTTTCTCTCTCTCTCAATGAGCTGGTGATGAATTGATGTTGAGGTTTGGGGCAATGTTTACATTGTAGAAAAGATTTTTCTGCGATGATCTTTTAGAGATAAATGAGAACACTTCAAATATTCCAATAATAATAATAAATAATTTAAAATCCAATGAAATATGTGGATGTTTGCCCACAAACTGATAAATCAGAAAATTTTACAAAGGGACTTCAGCTATCACACAATTGCCTATAGCTCATCAGGTTTATTTTTCTGTTTTAGAAAGCTCTAATTGTTTCCAAATTCTCTCTTATCTTAAAACAAAATATAATCACATAAGATACGATTTATCTTCCTCAGTTCAGCCCTTCAGATGTGAAAGAAACTATATAAAGGCCATCTGAAATCAATAGCTTCTGCTTATTAAGAATTTTTCACTTTTGGAGCTTGATGTTGCAATTATCAGTTTGAGCATTATACATCAACTCTAGTAACAATTTTGTTGGACTTTTTATATTTTAAAGAATCCACATGTTTTGGGAAACTTTTTTCATAATGCCAAGGACAAAAGTGGTCAACCATAAAAATAATTATTAATATATTTTTAAACATAGTCTACAGTTTTATGAAATAAAATAATAAAGGTAATAAGTGTGTGTGCATGCTTAGTTGGTTCAGTCGTGTTTTACTCTTTGTAACCCTATGACCCTATGTAAGAATGAGCACTTATATAATATTCACTCTGTACTAGATATGGTTATAAATGCTTTATATATTTTAATACTCATTTAATTTTCTAATAGCTTTATAAGATAGGTAGTACTATTTCCCCCATTTCACAGATGAGGAAACAGATGAGTCAGGTGGCATTAGGTAGCATACTTAAGGCTCACAGCTGTTATGTGGTGATGCCAAAATTTGAACTTAAAATTTGATTTTAGCATCCATGCCCTTTCTAGTAATAGTGTTCAATAGTATACCTGCTTATATTGCAATATCATTCCAGGTCCTCTTAAAAGCTCAGTATTACTTATTTAATGCAAAATAAGAATAGTAGGAAATATTCCTTCAATAGTATTTAGATGAGCCAATGTATTTGGAAAAAAAAAAACAAACCCTTTTTCTGGAAAATAACTCCTATTAATAACTTGTCTTAAAGCTCACCTGATACTTTCTACCCTCTCTTGAGCAGGAATAAGATGTTATAATAATGGCCTCTAAGAAATGACAGTAAGTAGACAAGAAAGTTAAGACAAAACCCTTGCTTTGTGATTCTACAGTCAAATAGAAAGACTTGAACTCATTTAAATGTTCTTTTCAATTTCCCTGGAAACAATTTCCTTCTCCTTTAATGCTTCTTCTTCTGAGAAAACAATACATGCTTTTCTTGTTTCTAATTCTTTCACCATTTAGATTTCACTCATTATTATTTTTCTGTATTCTTAGAACTAATTTCTAACATTTTTACTCCCCATATCAAAGTTAACATTTTAAATACAATTAAAATGGCATTCCCCTTTGAACCCATAGAAATAATGTGTGTGCACCTAGATATTGCCATGCTGAGAGCAGAATATCCCCCACTGGTTTAGAATTACTCTGATGCCAAACCCAATGAGCTGAATGAAAGAAAGTGACCCTTCATTCTCCAGGTTTAATTATCACTCTCACTGGAGTTTTCCCACATCATTCTCAAGTGCGTGCCTGCCACCTTTAATGACAGGGATTGGATAATTCAACCCATTGTGGCAGCTTCTAATCAAGGGCTAACTTTTTTGAAAAAGAAATTGTGTTGGGGGGCTTACAGGTCAGCTAACACCCATAACCAGTATCTCTATTTCCAGAGACAGTAGGCACCAGTTGACCATGGACTAGAGACAGCTGGAAGAACATCCTGAATATTAAGATGAAATATCTTGTAAGGGGGCTTGTTTCTTAACTGTCACAGAATTATACCAAAGCCTACACTTATATGGGCTTCATTGATGGCACAGTGGTAAAGAATCCACCTGCCAATGCAGGAAACACAAGAGACATGGGTTTGATCCCTGGGTCAGAAAGATCCCCTGTAGTAGGAAATGGCAACCCACTCCAGTATTCTCTCCTGGAAAATTCCATGGACAGGGGAGCCTGATGGGCTATGTTCCATGAGGTCACAAAGAGTCAGATACGACTGAGCAAATAAACACCCACACCCACATATACCACCCCACCCCCCACCCCGCACATACAAACACACTTATACTAGATTTCTTCTTGGCTTTCAAGGTTTCCTTTTATTTATCTGTGAGTTAAATTTGGCACACTGATAATTGTATCAATCAATTTATTACTAAGAGGTTTTTTTTTTCCCCCTAAGCTGAGACTCTTGCAATGCTTATTATGAAATGTGTAATTAAGGCTTACAGAAATCAATTTTAAATGAACCCTTTCATTCTCACTACAACAACCTTAGAAATCATATATTTTAGGCTTGCAAAAAATTTTACCAACAAATACCTGGTGCATTTTGTCTGAAGGCACTGAATTAGGAAGCAAAGACTGATATTTTCTATCATTTGTGGCAGTTAGAGTGAGAGTTAGGCAAAAGGTAAGGATGTATCAGTGAATCAGCTGGTGAAGGTAGAAAAGGGAATGATGGCTTTGTTAGAGAAATTAATAAAGGAAGAACAATGGTATGCGATATAGTTCTATTATAAGATGTGTCATTTCTACTGAAGCCCTTTCTCAGTTTATTACTGAAAGAGCAGCACTGCACACATGTTCAAAATGCCTCTAAAGAAGTTGCTCTTCATCAGCATTCTGAAGATGCATTCCTGATTAGTAGCCTTTAAATACAGAGTTCTTAACTTTGTGTGGGTGCCATGACCTCTGTAGGCACCCTGGTGAAACCTAAAAGCCTGTTTCAGAATACAATTTTTGAGTGCATAAAACAAAATTCACAAGGTAATAAAATATTACCATTAAATTAAAATGAAATCCTTGAATTATTTTTAAAAATATTAGTAATATATATTACTCTTTAGTAAGAGACTAAAAATACAATCTAATGGCAAATCTAATACTGCAATGTTGATGTAATGGTGACTTCAAGTGACACCGTGTGCTTTCTGTAGCAACTCGACAACTTGACATGATTTTATGTAGTTTCCTTTGGTGCAAAGTCACAGATATTGATGGTGTTACACTGGTTTGTTGCCTCATGATAGAGCAAATGATACATTTGAATGCAAGTCTAGGGAAAATAAAGATCTAAGTTTTTTTCCATCAAAGTTCATGAATTTACTGTTTTCTATCAAGAGTTCTAAGGACTTCAGATTAAGAATTTATGTCTTGCATTTCCTAATTCTAGTTGCCTATTAGGATCTCCAGGAGACAGTGTTCATTGCAGCACTGTTTACAACAACTAGGACATGGAAGCAACCTTAGTGTCCATCTACAGATGAATGGATAAAGACAATATAGTACATATATACAGTGGAATATTACTCAGCCCTAAAAAAGAATGAGTTTGAGTCAGTTGTAGTGAGGTGGATGAATCTAGAGCCTGTTATGCAGGGTGAAGTCAGTCAGAAAGAGAAAAACAAATATTGCATATTAATGCATATTTATGGAAACTAGAAAATTAGCGGTGATGAACCTATTTGCAGGGAAGAAATGGAAATGTAAACTCAGAGAATGGACTTGTGGACACAGTGGGGAAAGGAGAGGGAAGGATGAACTTAGAAAGTAGCACTCAAACATATACACTGTGCTGTGCTGTGCTTAGTCGCTCAGTCATGTCCAACTCTTTGCGACCCCTTGGACTCTAGCCAGCTAGGCTCCTCTGTCCACGGGGATTCTCCAGGCAAGAATTCTGGAGTGAGTTGCCATGCCTTTCTCCAGGAGATCTTCCCAACCCAGGAATCAAACGCAGGTCTCCCACATTCCAGGCAGATTCTTTACCATCTGAGCCACTAGGGAAACCCATATATATATATACTATCAAGTGTAAAATAGATAACTGGTGGAAAGCTGCTTTGTCACATAGGGAGCACGGGGTTGGGTTGGGGGCATAGGCGGGTGTAGGAGTGTGTATATATATATATATATATATATATATATACACACACACACACACACACATATATATATATAATTATGGCTGATTTGTGGTGTTGTACAGCAGAAATCAACACAATATTGTAAAGCAATTATCCTCCAATTAAAAAAAAAGTTAAAAGGCACAGTATGTTCTAGGAAATTTATAACCAGAACATGAATCTGAGATGTGTCCTAGTTAAGCTGATATACTTGTAAGGAA